AAGCAGAACGGTTACAAAATTCTACTGCTATCTCCAACTTCTCTGTCAACCCCCTTTGGGCGGCTGCCAGGGGACTCCCTCATAGCGGAGACAATCCAACAGAAGGTAGACAGTTTGCTTACAAAGGGCGCAATACAAAGGGTAGAAAATCCGACAACAAGTATTCAAATTCAGGGTGCTCCCCTTTGGGTTATGCACGGCTCCATATATGTTCACCAGTGTTGAAACAGGTGGTGCGCCTGCAGCATCGTAGTCGGTACACATCAACCTGTGCCTAGACGACTGGTTGCTACACAACCAAAACAAGGGGTTGTTGGCCGAGCAGGTTAGGCTAACACAGGATTTACTACACAAATTAGGCTTTCTAGTAAGTCTAAAAAAGTCCCATCCACACTGACACGTTATTTGGTGTTTCTGGCCATGGAGTTCGACGCAGAGGCAGGCTTGTTGCATCCATCACAGGCTCATTGCCTAGCAATAAGCAGTCTAGCCGAACATCTAGTCAGCGTTTCCTCTGTGTTGCTCCGAGACCTGATGCGTATCATTTGAATGATGACGTCAGTTCGCAAGGTACACATGTAGTTCCCCAAGCTGTATTGTGCAGCTGCCTGGTGCAAAGGACATTGTTGCAACACCGGTTTAACCTACAGGAACTGGAACGGACAGCACCCTCTGCCTAAACATTACCAGAGTGCTAAAAACAGACTTCTGTAGGCCAGGCATTCAGGCATGCTCATCTTGTTTCAGAATTATAGCTGTAGTTCTTAAATTACCCACAGTGTACCTTAATTTGATGCTTTACTCAACTTCTACTCAAGGCCTGTTAAACAACTCTTAAATCAGGTCTTGAAAATGTCATCTCTCTGTTAAGACTCACCCTTGAGAAAAGGCCATTTCAGACTCACAATCTATTTGCAGAATACAATAATGTACAGTGTCAGCATTCAATAGCTCATGATCAATTTAAATTTGGACAGGGAGTGCAATAATTATGCTCAGTTATACTTACCTTACCACCATTCGATATAAATTATCAAATGAAAGTTGTATACAATGAGAGAGGCATTGTTATGGCGTATTAACAATGTTGTGTTGCACTGTAGCACATACTAATTATTTCCTGAAAAATGCTGTATTATATTTTAAATTCCTATAAAATTGTTTTATTTATGTAATGGAAAAGACTAAGTGTGTAAATTATTTTTATTGTTATTTACCTCCATGTTTAATACGATTTTGAAACATAGAGATTGGAACACGTCTGGGAATTAAAACATAACATAAAAAAAGACCAGACACTAGGTCATGAATGAAACTTTATTGACAGTGATATTGAGAGATTGCAATGTATGAGTACGTACAGGTGTTTTAACTTTGATGTAAGGTATGTTTTAAAAAAATCACTGGTTCTGATTGACGCGTACAGTCTAAAATTACTGATTCATAATACTAGTGTGCATGTTTATGAAACACTTATATAAAGGTGAAATGGCAAATCTGAATGTTGTTGGGATCATAGAAGGAGATTATGCGACATGAATACTGAATTTTAGTTTTATTGTCACAATTATGTCAAATTATGAAAATAACAGAAAATAAGCAAATAACGTTAAATCCAATTAAAAAACACAAATACCTGACATACTCATACTGCTAGTTGTTGGTGTATCTATTGCATCCAACCGTTCAATGTGATAAGTCTAACCTATGATTGATACTTTCATTTGGAATGCATGACTTTTGAACAAATTTTGATGGAGGTAAATAACAATAAAAACTAACATACACTCAATCTTTTCACCTACAAATTTGCAATTAATAAATGTTGCTATTAAACGTAAATATTTAATGTAATGCAACATTTAATGTAGTTCTACTTACACGGACCGCTCGTGTCCATTTCAACTTTTCTACATGCAGCAATCAGCTTCCGGTAGTATAGTAGGTACATAGAACCAGCTGACCCTCCCCAAAAAATCTCAACCGAAAAATGAAATACTTGGGACTCTCAGATTGCAGTGGTATGCACAGTGTTTACTGCTGCTACAGAGGAGCGTAGCAATGTTTTTATACCAGCCCCGCTGATTGTCCAAACTTGCATTGTGCGGGATTTGGCGTCTATACTGTGATAGACCTGGAAGTGCCTAGTTTTTTGAAGAGCGATTATTTTGCCACAGGCGATTGCAGGTGTTACATAAACTTTCACATTCTCAAGTTAAAGGTCTTTTCAAAGCTTTGGGCAGAAGTATATGGCGGTGTGACTATTCAAACTCACAGTGCTAACTATGTGTCCGTTAAAGTGTTAAGACGGTGTGCAAGTTAATACAGAGCCTACTCATGAACAAATAACGAATGATAATTTATTTACCATCACTGTCATCAGTCTAATCCTGGACTCAATATTTAACCCTCCTTATGAACACTTGAACATTTTACCCACAAGGAAGTTTTCTTGGTCACTCAATGTTTTTGGCAAAAATTTGACGTAACTCTTATTCTTAAGATGGAGGAGGACATGCTAATTTGGGCAGTATAAAACTAATGTTTGTCTGTTATGTGACATGTTGTCAATATATAGCTGCATCCACCACAAACATTAGCCACAAGTTAAAAAAGCACAATTATCCTGAACCCCAAATTTATCAGATTAGGGGACTGGCCAACTAACTGACAGGTACTATCATGTTCATGCCAAAGGATTTTTGTGGACGCAAATATCTTCATTGGCATCATCTGTCAGACCATGGAAGGTACTAACTGAAGGAGCCATGACACTATTGTTTTAGCTTCACCCAATGATCATTTGTCAATGTTTTTGGCACCTTCTTACAATGGGTTATGCTAATCTTGAGCATTCGGTAATATTCAGAGCATGTTCGGTAACAATAGACGAACTGCGCATGCACAAGATTGAAAATGACATCTAGTTAGAATGTTGTTGTTTCCGGAGATCTTGGCGAATTTTAATGAAAAATTGGCAGATATAACATCGATTGAAGAGGAACTCAGTCTGATGAACTATCGTGAATCTTTTTGTGTTTTGTAATGGTGGTGAGACGTAATCAATGATTGCCTGTGACAATAACGATTGCATTATTCAATGGTACCATCGTCAGTGCATGGGTTTGATGCCCGAAACTGTTTGAAATTTTCGACCACAGTGCATCGGCAAACACCACCAGAAAAGATAGTATTGAAAGATGGGCATGTTCTCTGCGATAATATTTTTTAGGAATTTTTGTTGTAGACGCTCGAAATCTTGTTCTTGTTACAATTGCTAATAATGAAAACATGTGAATTCTGTGAAATAAATGTTCATCTGTTGAATTTCTGGTTGTGAAATGCGTATTTTGACCTTTCACACCTAAACAAACCGAGTGCGCATGTGTGATGACCGTAGTTTCATAATACGCATACATCTTATGGTCACATTTAAAAATAGGCAAGGTTATATCATATTCCGCTAACTCCTCACTTGTGTAAGCAATCACAAACTATCATCGACATCAAGGATGAGCTAGACAATGTCCTTTTCAGGATTAACTTGGGTTGAGAGGCGTCGTGGCTCCTTCCGTTAATACCTTCCATGGTCAGACTTAGTTAGTTCCTAGCCCCAAAAATAGGATTGGGCAGCTGCTGCTTAGGTGAGTAGCCCATTTTTAGAGGGTCTTAATGTTGTTTGAGAATTTCCCAGTTGAGTCTTATTTCACATTTGTATTAAAGTCGAATCATAGATCCTCATTTATATACTCATTAGCTTAAAGTACTGCTAGTTGTTAGAACACTGTTTTTAGTTTTTACACCCACCACTTTGTTCGTTGGGAACTCTCCCACTTCCACTTCCCATACCTACCGTCCACCTGCCTCCTGTCACATTCCATAGTGGCAAATTTAGAACTGCTCATTTGAGGGCGCTGCCATCCATACTGC